AAATGGAAGGAAGAGTGAGAATGTTTGTGTATATATGTTAATGAAGAATGGAGGGATTTAAGAAGAATCTGATCTCTTAGCTTTGCAGTCTGAAGAATACCTGAGTTTTGCAGACTTTTTTTTAGGAGCAAAACCCTGTTTGAAGTACTAGATCTGGTTGGGTTTGGAAACACTGTATCTGATAGTACTAAACAGACACAGCCGTTAACTGATGACAGGACAAGAGGAAAATGTAGTACCACCATAGTAGCTTTCTTCAGTTACCATTTTATTATACAGAACTGTATAATTACATTGCTATGCAGAAAAAATATCTTTACAAGAGACAAACTACTGAAATGCATGGTGGTGCATGCTTAATGTTGCCTAATGAAAAACTGGAGGGACCTTACTGCCCAAAGGATCTTACCTTAGTCCTAGCACATAGTTGTTCTTTTACTGGATTAGGCATCAAAAAGACATCTTTTGTCTAATAACAGGAGTAAGGATCTGCATCTTCTTTTCCCTTCTGGCCTGGACTTAGAGCATGACATGGGTAAGTTGCTTTGCCTCTGAGTCTTACTCTTCTAACTTCTCAAGGAATGTGAAGAATTTTGTATTATCATAATACTTTGGGTATTGAATGACATCTGTTGTTCTATTAATGTTGTGTTGGAGACTTTTTAAAGGATGACTTCAGGCCTTAGAAGTATTTGATATGTGCAAATGTTTAACATATGGTTATATGGAAAAGTAAATATTATTTAGTTTCCTTTCCCAAGTTCAGATCTTATGATTTATCTTTTTGACCAAAAATTCTAAGCACAGCAAGAAGCAATAAGAGGAGAGTTCTATTCTCTTCCTCCTTTGCATTAACACTGCAAGACCTTCTGATTTAAATGCTTTTTAACATTTTCTGTCTTCTCTCACCTAAAGTGTGAATACTTCACCATTGACACTTCCCTTCTCTCAGCTTTCTGTTGTTTTAGACTCAGCCCTTGTTATGAGGATGGTTGGTTTTGTAGTCATGAAGAGATAAGTACCTTTAGTCAAAAGTACTTACACCCGCCAACAGATCTGTCCAGACTTCTTTGGGATTGCAGAGGGGATCAGTGGTTTGGTACACTGTCCAAACGAGTCTCACCACTCTGAGTTCATAGGCTGTGTCTGCACACATGGTGAAGCATCTGGATGTGAACAATTACACAAGGAGGTGTTCGAACACACATTGAGCTTGGACAAATCTGCTGATATAGGGCTTAGATATCGAATTTTAATAAGTCACATGAAGAGAGGGTATTTTTATGCTGCAGATATTTCAGCAAAATCCTTAAGAGAGTTTTAACACAGAGCTTAGTCTCAAGCTTTGCTATTCCTCTGCCCTTGGGCTCTGTAGAACATCCCATCCTGCCAATGACTCACACCAAACATCCGACTGGCATTTTAGCTCAGACCTCTGTCTAGCTTTTCATGCTTTGGTGATGTCTCTGTTAAAGACTCCTTTCTGAATAGTATCTTCCACAGGATTCAAAACCTTCCTTCAGGTTCCTGTTATCTCACAGCTGGAGCACTGCTCCTGTTCTGTGGCCTGGAAATGCAGAGCTGTGCAGTTAATGGGACCTGCTGAGTGAAAAGGACAAAGTCTCACCCATCTGTCTTCTAGGCCATGGTCTGACACCTCTCTGCAGTCCAGTACCCAGCACTGCCCACACAACCAGCACAGGGACAAGACTTCTTCTGCTGGAGACATACACTGTCTTGTCTGTCTCGTGCCAAGTCCTTACTCAATTCAGACTTGACTCTATCAGCACATGACTTGAAACAAACTTGTGTAAGCTTACTGGGTTCTTCTATGAAACATTACATTTCAACACTGCTTTACAGTCTGGATGTGAGTAACATTTTGAAAAGCCAACATAACATTTCAGAAATGTGCAGCTTCTCTGTGTGAAATACAGGCAAACTCTCCAACACCTTCCTGTAACGTTTGATGCAGTCACCTCCTGCAAGTACTAGATGTTTTGTTTGTTTCTGTGTGCCTACATGAACTATGATTGGTTATAGGAGGAAAAGTAGAAAAGGCAGTATAGAATTGAGATCTAAATGCAGCAGCTTTTCTCCTTGTAACTTTAGGTTCTGTGTCTTTCAAAAAGACTTAGCAGAACGCAATGAATAAAATACAGCCACCCCTCTGCTTCACTGAAGAGAAGAGAATAAGCATAACAGGAGAGGAACAAACTAGCAGTTCTGAAAGCTCCTCTGAGGTGTCCCCTTCTGGCTAAGGTGGAACCCAAAGGCAAGTTAAAATTTCTCTTTATTGAATTTCTCTGAACAATGAGGGATTGATACGCTGTAAATATGCTGACCAGTTGCTTTGACCTGGGGTGGAGTTCTGGAGTAGTTCAGGGATAGAATGGGCACTTTATTTCTTACATTAAATAGTAAAAGCTATTGGTGCTGTGGATAGCTCAAAACACAGTTTGGTGCACTTGGGGGCTTTGCTCTGAGCTGAGTTTGTCACTCATCTAGCAATCCAAGGAGTGCAGGTTAGCTTGACAGGTTCAGAGGTTCTGTTCTAATGCTCCCTATAGGACTTAACATGTATGATATGCTAAAATATATTTGCCCAGGTGTCAGTTTGAGTTCTTGTCAGCACATGAACATTAAATTCCATTTAAATTCCAAAGTCACCTATGAACTCGAGATATTTCTAACATGCAAACATTTAAAATTGTAGTCATTTATATTTAGATGTGGGAGTGTTTCTTTAGCATCCTAAGTACTGCTTTGAGACTTAATTTCAGACACACCCATTTAGAAATGTTGGCTTTGACTTCGCATTGTTTAATTTGCAAAAGGACATGTGTTTTAAAAGGACTTTAAAATCCTAGGATCAGAGAACTTCTGTAATTATTAATCATTAAATTAATTCATCATTCATTTAAAATGCATTATTTAACAGTAAATCACTGTTTCCTGTTCTGTTGTGTATGAGTTAGTTTACTGCTTTCATCTTGGAAGCCAGAGAACAATCCTTGTGCCTACAGGTAAGACTCTTTGCATATACAAAGTTGGGTTGGGGGTGAAGTTAGAGAAGTCAGGATGAAAGTGCTGAGTACCACTGCCAAGCAGGATTTTTGTTTCTTTACTACAGAATGATGGGACCAATATTATATTTGTGTTGTTTAGTGTCTTATACTTCTACCAGGTAACAGTGAGAGGGTCTGGTGTGGAGAAAATACTTCAATTTTTTTCCTGAAAAGGAACTTACATTATGTACAAATTAAGCCCTGCCCTTTCTTGGCTCCCAGCCCAGCCACCAGCTACAAAGGAGCAGGAGCAGCAAAAGGGCCTGAGAGCGTGAGCACCTCTGTCTGCCCAAGAGTACCTGATGCCCTGAGTTACTAATTGTCCAGCAGAGAGACATCTCACCATCTCACCTGGCCAGGAAGGACGGGGAGAACACCAACACCCAGGATTCTACCAAGGGTACTTACTACTTCTTTATCTGTCTTTAAGAAACTGAAATGTTTGACTCTAACTTTTGATGGGAAGTAATTTGTGCATTTCTAGTATTTGCAATGAATTTTTTTATTCAACCTCCAGTTTACTTAAAATTTAAGGAGATATTAATGACAAGTATTCAAACAGATACCATTTTTCAAATGTCTTTTTGTGGTGTAAGTGTCAAGCTTAACCTCAGTTCTCCTTACAGTGTATAAAAAGATGCTTTGCCTCAGAAGTCAAGGCATAAGAATTTTATATGACTTAAATCTACTGGAATAGCATAATCCAGAAATGCAAACTTAAATTTCCCTGCTTGAGCAGGAGTGCATACTAGTCCTAATTTAAATTTTCTTTGGAAACATGGATTGCTTTTCATTTTTGAAATGTCAGGATATGTTTCAGCATAAGAGTTTGTATTTTCCACTGTTGTGCCACTCACTTCACTGTACTGAATGAGCTGACATTGGTCTTAGAACATATCTGATGAACCATCTGATGGTTTTCTTATCTGCAGGAATTAGGTCTATATTCTCATATTAGACTGCAGACACCCAGTTTGGCTTCCACTTGATAGTGATTTGACTGATTTCAAATGTATTTCTACTGGATTTTGGGGACAGAAGAGCCTAAATCCTAGTGTCAAAGGCTGTGCACAGAATCAGGACAACAGGGGATGTCTGTGTGGGAACATTAACTGGACTAATTTCTTGGAGTACACTGTGGTCTAGAATAGCAGTCAGGTACAGAATATGAGTGAATTTCTAAAGAGAAGTCATTATTGTAGAATAAACATTTCTAATTCAGAACAAAATGCACAGGTGGGTAACTCCCATGGAATTGCTTATTAGAGAATGATATTCCAGTGAGTTTTCTCAAGGAGGTTAACCCACAGGGCAGATGGTTTCTCTTTTCTGCTCCTTGTCAGTTTAGCTGTATATGAATGCCCTAGTGAGAACAATACAGATTGAAGTTAGAACTGGACAGAAAGCTAAATATATTTGGTGTGTAACCAGAAAAGCTTAAGATTTTAACAAATTTTTATCATTACTGAAGAACTGTAGCCCAAATGTGAAATAAAGTGGATTTTAAAAGTAGAATGAATCCTTTCTTAGATTCCTTATCTAATGTCTTGGTTTATTTTCCTGGCCAGTTTGGTAACATGTATTTGGCATTAATATATCAGAAGTTAGTTTTCAAGGATAAAATGATCCATTAAACCAAGCAATCCAAACTGTGATCATACCTGTTTTACAACGTCTCTAAAATCCTGTAATTTCTCTTCATTTCTATAGAATATGAAACTTGTGGGTAGGAGGAAAAGACTAAATCTTGAGACAGAAATGTATTCAGATCCTTTACTCACTGTACACAGCCCAACACCAAAATTACAAATTCATACATTTTAAACATGTTAAGATAAAACAGTCACAAAAGGAGTATTGCAATGTAAGTTACTGAAGTTACCCAGAGTATTAGGCAGGAATTTTCAAGAGATCTTCTGTGTTGCAGTCGTGATGCAAGAAGGATCCACAGAAGAGCTCCACAGCAGCCAAGAGTGCATGAGCAGACTGGGCGAGCGTACTGGGCTGCTGGCTGGCAGGAGCAGCAAGACACTGGTGACAGGAGGTGGAGGCTACCTGGGATACAACCTGGGATGTGCCCTGGTCAGGTCAGGAATTGCTGTTGTTCTCTTTGATGTCCAGAAACCTAAAGGGGAAATTCCAAACGGAGCGGATTTTTTCAAGGTATGTTGAAATGACGTATTTCACAGCGGTGAAATAAAGTGCTTCTACTTTTATGTAGATTATCAAGGCATCTTCTGAAGGATTTTTGATAAAAGCATTTGCTGAAAAGCCTTTAAGGACAATAGGAAGTCATGGTAAAAGGTCCTCACGTGGCATAAGTAGCTGATTCGGAGATGGCAAACTGTCCCAGTGGTCAGTGTCTTGGTGTCACCAGTGACACTCTGCAGTCCTGTGTGGTGCCATTCAACACACAGCTCATGCCCATGAAGCAGTGAACAAGTGACAAAGTTTACTGTTCAGGGAAATTATTTCAAGTAAAAAGGTGAGAGCAAAGACAGGGCAATAAAAGTGATCACCAATGTGATGTCTGCTGTGCAGAGAATGATTGAGGAAACCAGGAGTTTCCAGTCTGGGAGAGAGATAACTTGGGAGCAGGAGAACTCTACAGTTCTCTCATGGATTGACTGTTCACCACCCTTCCCAGTACAAGAAGGAAAGGCCATTGGATGAAATGAGGAGGAGTCAGTTCAGTACAAACAAAATGACATTTTTCATGCAGTGAGTAAAAGGCATGTACAAAGCCTCACCAAAAATTTGTTTCCATTGGAGATTACTAAATAAATAGGTGAGCTAAATTAGGCTCAAGAAATCTTCTGAATGAATATACTTGGAGACTGGAAGAATATTCTGAGGGAAAGTGTCCCATATGCTTGCCCTGTGCCTGCTCTTCCCAGGGCACCCATTTGTAAGCAGGGATTGGGTTTGAGTCTTAACAATTCAAGGAATTCACTGTCTACAAAAAAGGGGGAACACAAGAGGCCTCAAATATTTAACAGCTCACAGCCACCTGTGCAGGACACCATCCTGCACTGCTCCCTGGCATGGGGAGCACCAATTCCTCACTGCTGTTCCACCCACTCAGCTTTGGGGTCTGCACGCTCCTGTCATTGCACACAAGTTCTGGCTAGACTCAGAGTATTGTTCAGCTGATGTTGGCTGAGCATTTACTGTAAAAACTCTGACACTGCCACTAGAACTAGGAAGTTGATGGATCACAGGGTCTTTGTCCCAGGTGCTGTCACAGTGGCACAGATTTTCTCCTTCAGGCTACATCACCCTGTGGGGAGGTGGGAAGGGAGGCAAAGGTGGATGGATGATTCTGGGATGAGAACACCAGGCTAAGCAAATCTTGAGTTCGACCCAGGATGTTCTTAAGTTCAGTTGCATGAAGATCTTTAACAGAATATTGAAGAGAGATAAAATATGATTAAGGAACCATTCAAAAACTATAAGCTTGATTTGTTGATGCCATAAATCCACATAATTTAATTTAAGTTGGTGGACTGATAGCAATTTACTTCTTCTAATGGAAACTCAAGAGCTTTCACAAATGATCATTTGGGAACAGTTTTTTTATAATTCAATTTAAAAAGAATAAATATTACAAAGTGCAGATGAGTTACCTGGAAAATAGAACTATGGAATCCTAGTGAATAAAGTGGTATCACTGCAGAGATCTGAGCATTTATCAGTGGTTTGGAAATTGCTAGTGTTGTTTATACTGGTTAGCTCTTTAAGCATTGGACTGAGGTGGAAAGTGTAAGTCAGATGTACTTGTGAGATACCTCAGCAGAAAAAAATTGAAAATTAAAGACTGATTAGATTACCTTTTAATATTACCTCCATCCATTTCTTTTGTGGTTATCCTACCAGTTTCATGCCAGTGAATTAAATCATGCCTAATATTTTGAAATACTGTAATTTTGAAAATAGAGATGTATATTTTATTGATCTGTGTATGTATATGGAGCACTAGTAATATAGTGTTGCCTGGCATACTAAAACGCAATATATTATTCTAACCCCAGCATAGCATGTGCTACTAGATACAGTGTGTGTCCAGTGCAGTGTTCAGTGACTTATAGAATTTCATAAATGTAATTACAATACACTAATAAAATAGTAAGTACATATACTGTGCATTGCTTTTTTTAATCTTGTGCAAAACTGTAATTAAAGCTAACAGTGCAGCTGAAATAAACCTTAGAGACATTTGTGAAGACAGCACAGATCAGATCACAAGATGCTTACAGAAAAGGGGTTCCCTGCTTTGGTGATTCCACAGCAAACAGCTGAATTCATCCTGCTGTGCTTTATTGTCCCTGGGGCTTGATTCTCCAGCCCTCAAGCAAATGCTGCTCCCATTCAAGTCAGACAAGTTCTGCCAGTCTGCAGGACTAAGGGTGAAAATACGCATTATAATCGAAGCCAGCAAGAGTCATGGTTGTTTTGCAACTAAACTCTGACAAAACTCTTAGTCATGGATTTTTCTCCATGTTTATAATGTTTTATTTAATGCTAGTTAAGTACTGTTAAAAATAGATCAGAAGAACTTTAGGTTTTCCTTAAGAGCCATAGCGAATATAACTCTATGGAGGATGTAAGCAGCTCTACCTGTCACAAACTCATCCTTCTCTCGTTTTGCAGGGTGATGTGAGGGATTATGATGCAGTGTTCAAAGCCTGTGAAGGGGTTGACTGTGTTTTCCATGTGGCTGCATGTGGAATGTCAGGATTAGAACAGGCAAGTACCATTTTCCTAACGTGTGTCTTGTTATCCTTGTGAAAGGAAAAATTTCTCTGTGGGTGGCAAAGAATTTAATCTTATGATATTTGTCAGACAGAAGTAAGTACAAAGGTCAAGTCATCCATACAGGCAAATAATAGATGTCAAAGCACGAAACTAATGTGCTACACAAAATCCTGTAGAAAAATGAGATTGTAGTTTTAAGATTTTGGCTAAGAAGGCATGTCCTTTTTCTCCAGTCTGAAGAAGTGTGACAGTATTGCTCCAGAACTAATGTTGAGGCATTTTCTTCTTGTGAACTCCTCATGAGGAAACAGGCCAGCAAATCAATATGTTATGCTGAATAACAGTGATATTCACAGAGGATATTAGCAAAAAAATCATGAAAGTACTGATTTATTTCTAGGAACAGGACAGATTGCCACTGGAACAAGAATTTGTGAAAGCTTTCACCATCACCTCTACCAGTAGTTCTTGTTTCCATGTCATGGCTTATCTGGAGTGTGACAAAAAATTGAAGCATTGCAATTTCCTTTCAGAAGCATTTTATCTTTCTTTTTTCAATTTTCTCTACTCATACACTAAACAAGACAATAAAAATGAGAACTTATGTCAGACAGACTGTAACACATGCATCACAAAAAGGCCAGAGCTGTTCTAGATTTGGCAATTGTAAAACTTGTGTTGTGAGTGTGACTTGTTCGATCCATTAAATCTTGTGCAATCTCTTTTTCTAGCTTCAAAAGAAAGATCAGATTGAATCCATAAATGTTGGAGGCACAAAAATAATAATTGATGGTAAGCACCTAGTTTTTCTTTCTCTGCATCTGATTCAAACTACAAATTAAAAAACCCCAGACCTTCTAATTGGGTGTTTCCTGTGTAGATTTGGCAGTGCAATGAGGCTCTTCTCTCCCTCCTTTCAGAGCATGATGTAAAATTAGGTGTGCAGGGCCCATTAAAGCTGGTAGATTTGCAACTGGTTGGAACTAGGGATAGATTTTCAACCTGGACTTCATTCCTTGGCAGTCCATCTAAAACTCTTCTCCATGTACTGGTTGTTTTTTCCCTTTACTCAACATAAAGGAGAAGTGGTATCCTCTTTTCTCACAGAAATAGCAATAGAGATACTGTCCCATCTGTTGTGTTGTAAACAGTTGGTAACAGGTGCCATAGGTGTGTGAGTATATTTAGCTATTGTTTTATCACACTAACATAGAAAACTTTCTATCCTTTCTGCCTATCTGTGATCTCTTTCTATTATATATTGATTTTTAACTACTGTCTCTGGGAAACATTAGTAGATTTCTTTCAGAAAGAACCTTTCAAAGTGTATTGTAAACACCAAAGAACCTTTCAAAGTGTATTGTAAACACCAAAGCTACTTTCTCTTTGGTTTTCCCTTAACAATCAAATGGCAAAAAAAATCAGCAAACAAAATGGCAAAAGCTGTTTTTATTTAGCTACATTTTCATGCTCTTTGTGGGTTATTGCTGAAAAAAAAGCAGAAATAGCAGCCAGGTCAAACTCTAAAGTTAGAGGGAAGAGGTTGCCACGTTCCCTTCTTCTTCCTCCAATCTCCAAACCCAGAGAAACATGTCATGTCAAATTTCCACAGGCTCTCAGCAAAGCAGGATCTGGGAGGAGCATGAACCTGTTCATCTGCATTTTAATAACAGATGTTATTATTGTATTTTGTTCCAAATATTTACCACAGAGTAATTGCATTCATCATTTTCAGAATGAGCCAGTGAGCCAGCTGGGCTGGCTGCTCTGTGGATGCTAAACAGTCCTGGCTTTGAATATTAATTCACTTCAACTTTAGAAATACTGTTAAAAGAAAAGGAAATCTATGTCATTGAAGTTTGCAGTGACATATATGCGGCAGAATTTAGCTATAATATTTTCACACTCGACTGGAATCCGTAATGAAGATTTTGTTTTGTAAATAACACTAATTTCAATTGTGTTTTGTCATGGTTTAACCCCAGCTAGCAACTAAACCCCACACAGCCACTCACACACTTCCACCAACGGGATGGGGGAGAGAATCAGAAGGGTAAAAGCTAGAAAACCTCATGGGTTGAGATAAAGACAGTGTAATAGAGAAAGCAAAATCTGCACACACAAGCAAAGCAAAACAAGGAATTAGTTCAGAGCTTCCCATGGGCAGGAGGTGTTCAGCATCTCCAGGAGAGCAGGGCCCATCACCAGTAATGGTTCCTCGGGAAGACAAACACCATCACTCCAGATGTTCCCCCTTCCTCCTTCTTCCTCCCACCTTATATACTGAGCATGATGTGCTATGGTATGGAATATCCCTTTGGTCAGTTTGGGTCACCTGTCCCAGCTGTGTCTCCTCCCAGTCTCCCATGCACACCCAACTTCCTCACCAGTGTGGCAGTGCGAAAACACAAAGGCCTTGGCTCTGTGTGAGCTCTGCTCAGCAGCAACAAACACATCTTGGCATTATCAACTGTGTCCAGCACAAATCCCAAAGACAGCCCCATACTAATCACTGGGAAGAAAGTGAACTCCACTTCAGCCAGAACCAGCACAATTTAAAGCACCACTGGCTCTGCACTAACAGTTTCCTGCTAACACATCATTTGTCACTTATGAACAGACAGGACAAAGGCAGTTTTGTGGCATCTGGAGAGAACTGGCACATATTCTTGTGTGACTTTTTTACCTGCACAGGCATCTGTCAGACCATGGTGCACGAGGCAGCTCTGCTCTCTGCTCTCTGCTCACCCGACTGAGGGCAAATCTCTGGGCCCAGGGGAAGAAGCAGGGAACTTGCAGTGCTGTTTGGTCACAAGAAATGTTCTTTCTCATCTCCTTTTTATTCCATTTGTAAAATGAATATGTTTTAAGAAATGTTTGCAAAGGTGGAATTTTTCCCCCATCCAAGATAATTCCTCTATCCAGTTGATTACGACAATCCAGTGATGATATGATAGTTACAGGTACCTAATCACAGAACATTTGGTGACCACAATATATAAGATTTACAGAGGAGATATTTGGGATAAAAATTCATAGAATCATAGAATTTTAGGGGTTGGAATGGACCTTACAGACCATCTAGTCACAACCCTCTGCCCTGGGCAGGGACACCTCCCACCAGAGCAGGTTGCTCAAGGCTTTAGCCAACCTGGAATGAAACACTGCCAGGGTTGGGGCAGCCACAGCCTCCCTGGGTAGCTGAATGAAAGGTAGTATTACATTAAATGATCAGTTAAATGTTAAGATATTACTCCTTATATAAACATGTTTGTTTTCAAAATGAGAAGCTGTCAGTTCCTGTGTTGTTTCTCATTCTTTATTTTTCTTTTCAAATAATTTATTCTGTGTATCACTATAGTTTGCAAACAAAGAAATATCCCTAGACTGATATATACCAGTACAGTGAACGTGGTGTTTGGAGGGAATCCTATTGAAGAAGGAGATGAAGAAACTGTGCCATATTTTCCCCTGGAAAAGGTACTTTGCTCATGCAATGGCATTGTGTTCACTGTGCTCCAAAGGGTGGGTTGTGTGGAGGCTGTTCTGAGAGCAAAAGCTGCTTTACTGTAGCTCACATCAAAGTCCATGAAATTAAATTCAATTAATATAAACTGATGGATAAATCATGATCAATGAATAAATAATCAAATCATAGTGGCTTTAATTGTCTGTAACAAGACACATGTGAGATGATGCAGCACCTAAAATGACTCAGAAAAGTGGAATGTGAAATTTAACAAGAGCATTTTAAGAGAAAAGGTGTGAGGTGAGCACCTGCTATGAAATACTGAATGCTATGGCCCCTGTGAGCCATTGCATTGCAGAATATTGTTAAATATAAAGTTCTGCATCTCTTCCACACATGTTTTTGCCTCTCTGAAGCCCCAGACCTTGCTTTCCTTTTTCCAGGTGTAGTTACAGTCACCTCAGGGCTGCTATGAAATGCCATTTCCTCACTGTGACTATTAAGCAAAGATTTTCCAGTTCAAATCTGAAGCTCAGAGCATTCTGGCCATTCCTCCCACTTGTTCTTTCCTGCTCCCAGAATATCACCTGCAATTAAAAGCTGTAATTTTGGATGTACATCCTGTGTGCAGGGACCCTAAATAGGACTGACTACTCCCCTTGTGGTGCTTCCTGAGATACCCAGTTGGGTTTGCTGGTTTGTATGTGGCCTGCACAGCTCCTCAGACTCCTAGGAGAGCACCTCAGGAATGTGCAGAGAGTTACAGGTGTCTGACCCACAAATGCATCTGAGCAAATGGATATAATCCTGTGTTTTCCCCAATGGAGACCATGGCACAGCAAGCAGCAGAGGAGGGGCAGGGAGGGAGGGGAAGCAGCTGGATTGAGCCACCTGAGAGTGGAAAAAAAATCCGTTTTATTTTTCTATTTTATTTTATTTTATTTAGGAATATTTTTCAAAACCAAGTATGGCAATACAACATTCAACAGATAGATAAACAGCCTCGTGTGGCTGAGTAATCACTAAACCAGGATGTGCTAACTGTGTGCAGCTTAAATACACTTAGGTGCAATTTTCAAAGTAAACAGTAAAAGATCCTCTTTGGGAGAAAATTATTTATAACTTCCCAAATATCTTCATTAAGAAACTGAAGCACTTTTTGAAAGTCTGAATTTTTAGTTTCATATTTAATTTACTGTTTTAAAATTTTTTTAAAATTCAAAATGGGTAATTTGATTTTGATCAATATCTGTCCCACCAGAACATTTGGCTTGGTAGTCATTTTTTCAGTACATCCAGCACAAAAAGTGAGTTGAGTAAATCCTACTGGACTTAAATTCACTCAGAAGCTAAACTGGTGCCAGTAAAATATAAGTCTGATAACTTTTTTGTCATAAACAAAGTATATGTTTGCTCAATCTTGTTATTTCTAGTTCTGTTTTGCTCAGTTGATATCTATCACCTGGCTAAATGAAATTCTACAAGTCAGAAACAGTAAGTTTTCCTTTACAGGTGCAATAATGTGATTAAAATTATCATATTCTGCCTTTCTTTATAGCAATTTAATCACTATTCTAGAACCAAGGCAATTGCAGACCAAATGGTTCTTGCTGCTGATGGAACTTTGCTCACAGGTACATGCAGCATATAACAAGTAGATATAAGCATTTGTGGTTTTCCTGTCTTTAGTGGTGCTAATGGTTTCTCTGGTTCCTCATGTATTTTTAACTGAAATCAGGATTTATTTTCTTTGTTTTGACTCCTCCCTTTGATGGATAACTAATTCTATGTAGATACCGAAAGAGATATGAGATTATTCACAACAAATGGGAGAATTCAGAAAATTTAACCTTACTTTTTCCAAACATCTCCAAAGTTTACCAACGTTACAGCAGACACAGGATTTGTGCTTTTATTCCCCATTCAGTCTATCACTTTGAGCTTCTCTGGTAATACCAATCTGTGAGCACTGTCCAGTGGGTCATCCTTGTAATCCCAGAGGTTTGCAGGTGTCTGGCAAGAATAACTGCAGCTTCCCAAACAGATTGGCAGTATCAGGGGCATGTTGACTGCTCACCTGCATGAACAGCTGTGGCTAGGAATCTGTCTGCACATGGCAAGGGAAATGCTTATCTTTGCTTTTAGGTGCACATTTCACTATTCCTACTGATTTCTCTGAGCTGAAAAGCTGGCAATCATAAATTAGTGGGGATTCAATTTTAGCATCCTTGATTAACTACTGAGCATATCCCACCACTTGTTACTCTTGGCCATACAAAAGGTGTCAACGTTCCTGTTCTCCGGAGTCAGAGGAGTCTGCTTACTGAGTCACATGTCAAACTCAGAGTATTTGTTTTGATTTAAAGTATTCAAATTCATTTGAAAGCCTCTGCTTAGGAGACCTGTTCCTTTGTAGTGCTCTTGAGCAAGGTGTCTGGATATAGCAAACTGAATGATCTGCCTCCAGAATTGCAGTGATGGGCAAATACAAGTTGTAAACTTACCTCTGTAATAACTGGCAAAGATCAATCAAGTAGAAGGCACATCTGTAGGAAAGTTTAGTTTGTTCTGTCCCTGCTCAAACTCTCCCATGGAATCTGGTTTTTCAGGCTGTCAAGCTCAGGTCTTTCACTGCTCTAGAATTCAGTTTTATACAGGAATGAAAACAAGTTCCTAGGAAGCCAAATCACACAGAATGGTCAATCTCAGCCTTTACTGTGATAGTGTAAAATTCAGATACTACATGTCAGCCCTATGTGGGTATCAAAGCTGCCTGAAAGTCACATGTTTTCTCTCTCCAAGGAGGGGACAAGCTCCACACCTGTGTGCTTCGCCCACCAGGCATCTACGGACCAGAAGAGCAGCGGCACCTGCCACGAGCAGCTGTATGTGTTATGTAGGCAGCTCTGGAGGACACTACAAGTGGTTGTAAGGGCATAAGTGGAAGTACCTTCATTGCAGTTTTTAATCATTGCTCCAGGAAGACTTGTGAAAGCTTGGTGACAGGTCGTGTGGTGCAGGGTAACACTGACAGCATGAACTGAGCATTGCCGAAATGGCCAGAATCAAACTGTGCTTTTCAGTGACAAGAATGCAAGACTGAAATGCCATAGTAGAACTAGGTTTGCACCCCTGATGGTTTAATGGAAATATTGCCTTTTAAATAGGCACTTTATTGTCTGTTAAACACTATGTCATCTTATTTTGCTACTGCCTATCAGTGCAACGGTCCTTGGTTTATAAAACCACCGACTAGTTGGGGATTTTTTCTTGTGACACATTTCTTGCACTGTAATTGCACTCAAACACAGCAAACTCTCAATATTTGGCCCTAGCCAAAATGCATATGTCATACTGCATAATAAAGGAATAATGTTTTCTCTTTCTACAGGTAAATATCCAGCGGAGACTTTTTAACTTCAAGTTTGGGAATCACAAAGTTCAGATGAACTGGGTTCACATAGGAAATCTAGTACAAGCTCACTTACTAGCTGCTGAGGCCCTCACCTCTGAGAAAGGTTATGTAGCTGTAAGTAAACAATATAATCATTGTGTCCCAGTAGCTTTAGCTCTCAAATAAGTTTAATTCGTGATGTTTTGAGACCAAAGATTCTCCAAGAGGTCATATGCTCAGTTCTCCAAAGTGGTGTGCAGTTCCACAAGCACATGGACAGTGCAAATGTAAATACATTCTTCTAATGGTTAGATTTTTTTTTTCTGATTTGAAAATACAGAATTTCCTGGTTTCTTGGAGGACACGGTATTTTTAACCAGGCTAATACATTCACCATCATACAATCTATATATTCTGCTATTATTTTCAAAATAGATTCTGATCTGAAATGCATAAAATTTAGAGCAACCATTCTTAGGTGTTCCAAGTTAATTATCAGAGTTGAAAATTCCAAAATTAATGGATAGTTTTAAAAGGTTTTTCTTCTACTAGTCATAATTGCAACAGCAATCTGGGACTGTGAAGCATTACAGAACTGAGATGTTGCAGAAGCTGCTGCAGTCGCAGTTCCTGAAGGCTCTAGCTTCATGTGCATTGGTAGGAACACACAGACAGTGAGCACAGACATTTCTCCATGTGCTGTCAACCAGTTCATTGATTGGAAGCTGTGCAGCTGTTTTAGAATGAAACTCCCAAAGTCTTGGGGTCTGCTTGAGTGCTCAGGTGTTCTCAGTGCTCACAGCTGGACAGACTCATCATCCAGAGCAAGGAAGCACTGTCTGCACATTTAGAAGGCTGGAAGAAGATACACCGGAAGGCGAAAGTAGGTTCAGGCGCTGATATGTCCCACAGAATGTATATACTGAATCTGGTTTAATTAGAAAATTATCCAGAGCTGGAACTCGACCTCAGAGCTGTGTTGGTAATGCTGTCAGTGTTGCCACTTCCATTGGACTCACAAAGGTAATTGTCCCCTGCAGACCACAAAGACCATAATGCTCTTAGAGCTGTGAAATCTCTCTCTGATCTACATCACACCATGGTTAATCATGATGAGCTCTACCACTACCATGGGGTTGCCCAAAAGTCTGAGATCTGTTTGAGACCACAGAGAAGTCCAGTGAAGGCAGTTTGCTGAGCTGATCTGTGTACATTCACCATGTGCATTCTGGTGTGTTGCTCACAAAACCAAGACAGATAGGTAGGTATGAGAGAGAAAGAAAGTGTAAACCTGTGTTCAGTGTTTTTCTAACTGTTTTCCTCTGCTTCTTCAACAGAGTGGTCAGGCATATTACATCCACGATGGTGAAAATGTCATCTTCTCTGAGTGGATAGTGCCTTTGGTAGGTCCTGCACATGTGTTCACCCATGGGCACTAGTTACATCATTAGCCAAAAAGCCACATGCACTAAATGAAGTTCAGTGCACATTAATTACTGAATTACTTAACATTAAACTCAATCCTCTTCTCTTCGCATATCCCAAAGTTCCACTGTGTTCAAGAGAAGTTTTGGTTATGCCTTACTGTTTCAGGAGTATTTAGCCACAAGGTACAGAATGTGCTGCAGATCAGCTGCATTTCTGTGAAGCAAACTCAGTGCACAGCAGGTTCTGCTGGTGGCATCTGGCAATTCTCTTACAGCCATGGCTTATCTCTGTCCTCCCATCAATAGAAGGGAAGCACATTCAGAATCATATCTAGGAAGCTAAAAAGAGGCAACATTCTATTTTCATCAACATCAGGCTGGGATTTTAGGAGTATGCCCAAGTTTTGATCGTGCAATGCCAACACAGAATCCTTCAGGAAAATTATTGCAGTAGAACAATGGGCCTGTATTTACCTGTAGTTCAATATTCCAGTCTGGATCACTTGCCCTTTGGAAATAGCCTTGTTTCCCCTTTACTATCCAATTGCAGCTGAAGGGAGGGACATGGGAACCAAAGAACCCAAAGTGGGTTTCAGTTCCATTTCTCACTGCCAGTATTGATAGGAAGACTAGCTGGAGAAAAACCTTAGATACATGTTTTATCAACACTCCTTTTTTTATCATTTTCATGCTTGGTTGATACCCTCAATTTGCTACAAGTTATCTGTTATTCTTTCCTTTCATACCCTTTTTAGTTCGAAAAATTAGGCTACAGGAAACCCTGGATACATATTCCTGTTCTTCTGGTTCATACAGCAGGTAAAAAAAGTAAAATATTTCTTAATTGTTGTGGGTTGGTTGGGGTTTTATGCCTATAAAGGTGTACATAGTGGCTTTATAAAATGCAGGAACACAAACTGTAGGAGTTATGCAACTTGACATTATCCTAATTAATACTAATCACTTGTGCCATTTGGCATTAATTATCAGATAAAGTGAAAAGAATACTCATAAACTGAGACCATCATGTACTTTATAAACTAAACACTGCCTTGCACCACCTTAACTGCACCCCCTGATATCAGCAGGGATTACAGGCATTGTCTCAGTTCATTGTCATCCATCTGTCTCATTAAGTAACTTTCTGTTTCACAGCCACTGTGATGGAATATCTGCACCTGATACTAAAGCCAGTTTTTAGCTTTACGCCTTTCTTGACAAGGAATGAGGTAAATATATCAAAAGAGAGAATGTTTA